AGGATTTGGTTCCAACAAACTGGGCGATGCAGTCACCAGATGGCAAGTTGCAGCTTATACAACATGTAAGAGCCCAGAATTGTATACATCTCCCTGGCAAACAGACACTCCCTGTCCTGCTAGCCTGCATTCACAGACTCCTCTTCTACTGTGCTGAAGCAGTTCATGAAGGTAATGTATGCATGCCACAAAGTGTGCAATATATAAGCCACATCTTCCCACCATAGCTACTGTAGGCACATTAGGATTTATTTCCTTCCTTTCTTCATTTATACTCCATTCTTCTCCCCAATGGGGAGCCAAAGTGGCTGATACATTCTCCTCTCCTCCAGCAACAATCCTGTGAGAGTATATGACTGGTTTAAAGTTGCCCAGCAAGATTCCTAGTCAAAGGCTGCAATCAGACAAGCTGTCTGATCCGGTGTCATTGCTGTTCCCTTCCGGATTTAAAATGCCAATCAGACCGCAACATCTCCCCTTCCCCAGTCATTGGCACCCTGTTCTCACCAATCTTCGAATTAGAGTTATTTGACACAGGGGAAAGTTGAGTCCTTCCTGGTGTCAGCGGTCTCACCCCACATCTCCAGAAGTCTGATCAATCCATCGTGCTCTCAAGCCATTTGGGAAGTCTGAACGTTCCCTTCTGGTTTGGGGCTCTTTTTTTAGGCAGTTAACAAGGTGCGCATAATAGCATATTTGCACCATGGCTATGAAGCGCGCATATGCATTTATTTTTTACAGACAATTTACAGACATCTCTCTCTCTCTCTCTCTCTCACACACACACACACACACACTCACTCACACAGAGGAACTTCTCAAAAGTGTATCTTTCTTTTCAAACTTCCAACGCAGTTTCAAAAACACTTCCCCCCCACTGCACTACATATCCCAGTAGCCTCTTCCAGGAATCCCATTGGCCACCAACCACCGCCATCCTGCCAGGACTTTGAAGCGCTGCTTCCAATACATGCTTATGTGCATGCTCAAAAGACAAATAAATAAAAAGCTGCCCGACCACTCCACTCTATGGCTGCCTCATATTTTTTAACAGTTTTTTTTAATTTTTCATATATACATTATATTATCGATTTACATTTTTTATTCTTGTGAGTTTTACTTATTTACATTATCTAATCATATGTAAAACTTTTCCCATCTTTTTTCAAATGTTTCTTTACTCTTGCCTTGTATCCTTACACTTAATCTATCAATTTCAGCTACAGATAACATTTTATCTATTACATCTTTTTTGAAGGTACTTTTTCCTCCTTCCATGTTTTAGCTAATAATATTCTCGCTGCCGTAAAGAAGTATATAATTACATATTTAAAGTACATATTTTGTACTTTATCACACCTACATCACATATGCATATATGTGCCCACATTACTTTTACATTTCCAACAATTCCTGTTGGAGTTTATAAAACATTTCGCTATCTTCTCTGGTGTCCAGTGCCATCTGTAGAACATTTTATATATGTTCTCTTTATATGGAATTGCACGCATTAATTTTATTGATTGCCATACTTTTACCCATTGCTCTGGTTCTATTATACATTGTAAATCTTTTGACCATGCAAGCATTGTTCCTTTCACCATTTCCCCTATCAAATAATCCGCCATTAATAATTTGTATAGTTTTTGCATCAATTTATCACTGGAGGACAGCCAAATCTTGTCCAGCTCATTATTTTCTTTATAGAACCCTCTTTTTTAATCTATATTGTATCTCACGTTTAACTGAATTCTATCCCACCAGGTCAATTTTATCTTTTGTTTTTCTAGTTGTTCATCAGTCTTTAGATTGTTGTTCCCATCTAACAAATCTCCATACGACACTCTCCTGTTCTTCTCCATTAATGTTGATATTGTTACCGCCTCCATTGGTGCTACCCATTTAGGTGTCTTTAAGTAGTATCTCAGTTTTATTTCTTTCCAAACATCCATTAAAGCTCCCCTTATTGTATGCTGCATGAAATTCTTTGATATTTTTCCTTCCTCATGCCAGACCATTGCTAAGTTATGCCCCTCAAGATTTAATAGTCTGGTGTTCTCTAATGTTACCCAGTCCTTTATCCATATTAGTACTGCTGCTTTATAGAATAAATTCCAATTTGGTATTCCAAATCCCCCCGTTTCCTTTTTGTCTTGCATGTATTTTCAGTTTAATTCTTGGTTTTTTATTATTATTTTATTATTGTTACAAATTCTTTCCCACTCTTTGAAGTACCTTGCTTTCCTTAATACTGGTATGTTTTGTGCCAAAAATATGAACCTAGGTAGCATATTCATTTTAATAACCGCAATTCTACCCATCATTGAAATCTTTAAATCTTTCCATTTTTCTAAGTCTTTTTTTGATTTCCCTTAATAGTTTATTATAATTATCTTCTATTAAAGTAATATTTCTATTTGAAATTGTAATTCCTAAGTATTTGACTTTTTTAGTTATTTCCATCCTTGATAATTCTTGAATTTTATCTTTTTGCTTCACTGAACAGTTTTTTGTTAGTATCTTTGTTTTCTTGAAGTTAATTTTTAATCCTGCTACATGGCCATACTCCTGTATTACCTGTGTTATTTTTGTTATTGATATTATTGGTTTTTCTATTATAAATACCAAATCATCTGCATAGGCTTGCAGCTTAAACTCTTCTCCTCTTATTCTAAGTCCCTTAATTTGCTCATTATTCCGCACTTGCTCCATTAATGTCTCTAGCGTAAAGATGAACAATAGTGGCGATAAAGGGCATCCTTGTCTGGTCCCTTTCTGAAGTTCTATATCTTGTGTCATATCATTATTTACTTGTATTTTTGCGGTTTGTTTCTTATAAATAGCTTTTATCATCGTTAGAAAATTTGTGCCACAGTTCCATGTTTCCAGCTTTCGTAGCATAAACTCCCAGTTTGCATTATCGAAAGCTTTTTCTGCATCTAAGAATATTAACACCACTTCTTTATCTGAGTTTACTTCATAATATTCTATCACATTTACTATTGTCCTAATATTATTCTTCAAATATCTTCTTGGCAGAAACCCTGCTTGATCCTGGTGTATTACTTGTATTAAAATTTTCTTCAATCTTGCTGCTAATATTGTTGCAAATATCTTGTAATCTGTATTCAATAAAGATATTGGTCTATAATTCTTAACTTCTCTGTCCTCCGTGTCCAGTTTGTGGATTACAGTTATTATTGCTTGGTTCCACGTTTCAGGTATTCTCCCTGATTTGGCTATATTTTGTGATACATCTTTTAAAATTAGTGCAATCTGTTCTTCATATCTTTGATATATTTCTGTTGGAATCCCGTCTGGTCCTGGCGAATTAATTTTTCTTCTGTTTTTTATTGCCTCTGTGATTTCACATATTGTAATGGGTTATGGCTGCCTCATCTGATGGATCAACCATGTGACTCTCTGTGCACTTAAGCCTGCAAAGTTAGTTGGAAGAGGTGTGTGTGGGGAGCCGGGATCAGCAGCCTGCTAGAGGCAATCTGGCGGCTTCTTGTGCTTTGCAAAGTGACTCTCTGTGCCCTTAAGCCAGTAAAGTTAGTTGGAAAAGGTGGGGGGGTGGCAGGCGA